GGCGGTGGATGACAACTTTGATCTTCCATCCCCTCAGGGTTGCCAGGCCATTCCACCATACAAATGACCCGGCTCTGGGGCAGAGCACACAGCCTGCTTTGATTACTGATCAGAGAGCCTCGGCCTTGTTAAGCCTGGCGAGGAAGACGCTGAACTAAGCATGCTGTCCGACAGTTGGGTTTCAGGTGGCCAGTTTCTAAAGCTGCTCTGAATTCTTCGCCTTCCCCTGCCAAGAGGAGATCCATAAAGTTGCGACGGTAAACCAAGGTCCATTTAATGCACTGCAGAGGCAGGAAAACCGCTCAAGCTGCGTGAGACGATATAAACCATGATCAGCACTGCTCCGCTTCGCTCCAATGCTTTCTGGGCACAGGTGATCTCACTTGTCTGCATATCGCCGTCGAAATCCATGCGGAAATCAACAACAAACACTGGTTCTCTCATATAGGTGCCATCCAGCTGTCCGGCCCTGGCTTGAGTTTATCACTTGCAGATACCAAGGAAGCATTTTTATCTTGTAGAACATTGTAAAGTTTCTGCTGGATGATGGACGGGGTTGTTAGTTAGCCCAAAAAATGAAATGAAAGCCAGGAGGCAGAATCAAATGTTTTCTTTTGCAGTGGGTGACAACAACTATGTGCAGTTCCTCTGTGAATATCGGGTTTGCTTCACGAAGGTGCTATGCCAGGTCTGTGATGTGGATGTGGCCTGTAAGCTTCATGGGAGATTGGACAGAACAAAATGGTCATCATCAGAAGCAAGCCAGACAGAAAGGATGTGGAGAGGAACCTATATTAATTCCGGAGAGCTAAACTGCTGACACAAGGCAAGAAATAACATATCCTCAGTCAACAGCAGCGCTCTCTGAAGATCGAGGATTACAAACGATTGTCATATTAGGAATGATTTTTTTCTCATTTGTTCCATCACTCTGAAATCTAGCATTCTGAATACATGCCAATAAATCACAGTTAATGGAACAGACAAAAAAAAATGTCTTGGTCTTGGATGGGAATATCTCACAAACGGCACACTATAACAATTTTCTAGCCCTTTTGAATTATTAATTTATACGTCTATGGTTACTGAATACCAGATAAATCATTCACTCATGTTCAGTCCCTGAAAACTGCACAAGAAATATATGATTTGTTTACTATGAACTATAAAAGAATATCAGCAATAGACCACAAGGTACGATCCATGAAAACCGGCAATATTATATTCACTTGCAACAAGAGTTTCCCGAAAAAACAGCAAAGACTGGCCTACATTGAGTATCTGAAATCAGAAAGTAAGGCTGGATTCAATGCAGGGCCCCTCAGAGCAGATCCTGACCCTGTCATTGCGATAAAAACACCAGAAATGTCTAAAGTCTAGTGAAGCAACTATTTTTAGTTAAAATAACAGAGCTCGGGACTCTTCCGGCCTTCAAGAAAAAAAAGTGAATGAAGAAATTCCATCTTCTAAATGACAAGCCACTGGTGCCCAAAAATGGAGAGGTGAGGAGTCCTTTTAGACAACAGACTATAGGACAGCTCCAAAAATAACAAATCAGGATGAGACAGAGGGCAGGTGTGAAGGTCATGTGACGAGAGTGTCAAAGGCAAGCATGTAGACAAGCGGGGTAGCTGTGGGAGCAGTGGGAGAAGACAAGGGGCCCAGCGCAGACAGAAGCTCGCCGCTGCAACCGCCCAGCCAGCAAAGTCAAGCGAGGATTATTAGAATATAGCACTGCACCACAGGCCAGAGGAAGCCGCTGCGATTCATCACCCCGGAGGTGCTATGCAGCGCTACGTCTGGCCAGCGACGTCCTCGGCTCCTCAAATCTGGATGACAGCTCCTATCAGGCGGTGATGCAAAGGATTGCGTGGCAGCAATATCGGGGGCGGGGGGGGGGGTGGCGCATTCCTGGCCATTGCACACTGCCTTGAAGCACGACGACAAGTCGATGTCACTTTCAGCCCCTTTGGGTTTCCGATCAAGAAACTACACATTAGCACTTCAAAGGACAGTATTCTAAGCAGAATTTGTGGCTACAGTACAGGACACACTGGTGACATTTAGCTGCTCTGTGCCCCTACTGCATGCATATAAAGTATAAGCCAAGAGACCTACGACTGTAACTGCCTTGGACTGTCAGGCTCAAGGTCTTCCAACGTAGTGCTAAATTAGATTGTTAAAAAGGCTCCTTTACCCCAGCCTTGAGGAATCAATTACTATTGATTTTGTTATAAAGTTCCCCCTCGGCACTCTCAGGTGGTGTCAAATAGGGGAATACAAAGCAGATAAACCCACAGGAACATTACGTATATTTTCCCCCTATTTTACTGCAAGGCTCGAAATTATTGAACACGGAGAATAAAACCCGAGCGTGTTTTCGCGGACAAAGGAAAATTAATACAGCAATAACCCGGCACGTGTAGCTGGCCGTGTAGCGACAAATCCTGGAAAATGCAGGAATAGCTACAGAGTAATCAATGCGGATTTATATGTGACCGCTGTAGTCGCAGATACTGTGGGCAGTCACATGCCGACAAGAGTGCTGCTGGGAAATGCTAATGCTGCGCACAAGATAAGACTTAACACATCGCATCTGTATTTATCAGTGATTTATTAACTAAAATGCTAATGCTGTTTCACCCCTATAAATAAGGTCCGTGTTTTAGTTCTTCTGGCCCGTCGAAGACCGCCCCCCCCCTAAACATAATTAGAAAACCTGCATTTCCTGTATTTCTGAGAATTTGATTAATCTAACAATCTAACAGCAAAAATCCTAAAAGAGCATGTTTGCTCAAGCGAGAATTAAATATAATTAAATTCAATAACTGGTGCTGTGAACAGTAATCAAGAAAGGCTAAAAGTTTACCAATTTTACAAACTTAATCGCACGCACACAGAGGACGTGATCCAAAGCATGCAGACTTTAACTAATCTAATATCTTCTCCCACAGAATAAATAAATGGGCATTTGCATGTGTGCAAGAGCCAACTCACTCTATCACTTCTGTTATTCGTCCTGCCAGCACGCATACATCTCATCGTTATTGTAACAACATGCGCCATGCTGGAGTGCCATCTAGTGGTAGAACGATGTAAAACAAGTTACCAATAAAGTTACCCAGCGAAGTTACTTCACGCTTTTGGATATTTCACTGGAGTTAAATATATAACTAAATAGCTAAAAACTTTCAGTATTATCCCTTTACAAGACATCAATCAATGTAGGAACAAACACTGACACAGACAATATGTGACAATTTTTTTGTAGAATAGACTTAACAAGTAAGGTCAAGTAAGGGTCCAGCTTATCAATTGTGAAACGCCGAAGCAAGCTCCTTCAATGAAGACTGACACTTCCATTAGGAGCCCCTGGCTAAGCACAAGTTTGGCAGAACCTTGGGCATTCTAAGAGAGCGGACTGACGCAGTCACTGATGCCATGTGACACATGACCTCTTATTTCTCATGGATACAAGTACGAGGAATCCAGCCATGTTTTTCCAAAGCAAACTGCTGTATGTGTTAATGTCCTACCACATGCCGATCAAACCTTCAGTTTGCAAAAGGCATCTCAGTGCATCTCAGACCAAAGCAAAAAATCATTCATTTTCAACCATGCATGTAACAAATAAATCGCAAGCAATGCAACACTGTAACAGTAATAAGAATATAGTAGTATCTACAGAGGGACACACTGACGTGGCACAGCCACAAAGGTGAAGACCTTCTCATAAAACCCAGAAATCTGTTCATGAGTACCAAAGCTAGCAATCGAAACACGAAAAAAAGAATGAGAGAAAGGACGAAGGAAAAAGCCAAACATCCTCCACACTGTTGTGAATCATCGTGAAAATGTCGCGATGCATTTCCCATAATAATCCCCGTGGGCTAGTGCGTAACAAAGTGAGGCTTAACCCCGCTTGAATCGCGGCGCTGCATTTCTTTTGAATAAAAATGCTAATTCGCGGAGCTGCGTGCCGCTCCTGGCCTCTAAATGATTAGGTGAATGGAGCCACCCCAATTATCACGGCAACGGGAGGCTACAGCTGCTGAGAGACGCACCGAAAGGGAGACGACTGAACACAAAGGATGATTACAGCCCGGAGTGGGCGGTTTAGCACCTTTTCTGAGGAGCCTCGAGTGTTGCTGGACTGAACGCCGGAGAGAATGAGCGTGAGCAACGAAAAATTAGGCCCCGCGCAGAACAGCACTTAACCCCGAATCCGTCTCCAGCTCTTCACGCTAAACACAAATAATCATACCGATATCAAAATAGCTTTATTTCACCTTGGGGGATACAGAAAGGTAGTGTTCTGTGGCTGTTTTCCTGAACTCACAACTACAAGCAAGTCCATCTACTTCTCTAAAATAGTGCCCCCTAATTAGGAAGTAGCGACAGCTATAATCAACACGACACTTAATTGGAATTACTTAAGCAAATATCTAGCTGTACAATGCGTTAAACTGGCAAAACGGACTGCAGGTAAGCAAATAATAACATAGCACATAAATAAAGGCTTACATAGGCCTAAGTGAACATTAAAGAAATACGGAACTCACAGCAATCCTAATAATATTCATTACATTCATTAAACCCCGTGACAAATATACTGCCTGCTGCTCACATTACGTATTTATCCGCTGATTTGGGTTATAAGTATTATTAGAACAGTGACCAAGTACGCAGATATAGGACGGACATTAATCCTGCATTGAAACAGCTCTGCCGTACATCGTGTTGAAAAGGGTCAGATACGCTAGGGACACCCAAAGGGGGAGTGCTGGGGCCAGGTTTGGTACCGCAACAAGAGGCTGGGCCAGTAGCTCTTTCGGTTCCGTTCCCATATATATCTGGAACAGGGGCAGGTGAGTGGGGGGAAGACAGTCTGTACCAAAATGCAGAATCGTCCAGGCCTTCAATTTAAAAAATACCATGTTTTTTTTATTGCTGTGTTGTTGAAAATGTCGGTGGTAAAATTACAAACCTTAAAAAAAATGTATAAAAATGTAATTCATTCAATATGGAAAAGCAAACGGGGACAGACAAAAGCTTTCCTTCTGAAAACTTATTTTGAGGTGAGATAAAGAAAGCTTGATGTCTAACTTAAACTTAAACTGAACCAGGCACAGTAGATTGTTGTGAAATTAGATTAAGAATCTTTATCCTCATGCAGAAAGCGTAGCTGTATCCTGGAGGAGTAAAAAAAACTGTCAGAAAGCGCCACCCAGTGGATGTAAAGAAAAGTTCTCAAAACTAGCCTTCAAAGCGCAGAAACAAACACAATCAAATTTTTTTTTACAAAAGTAAACCAACAAAAAAAAAACTGACTTTTTATTACTTAACATCTTGTCGTCCTTTCATTGGTAAACAAACTGATGAACATGTTCCCCTTCAAAAATCATTGTTGAAAAAGATAAATATTTCATATACAAAAGTGCAAACATACTGAAACACAAATTAAAACGCAATTATGTGTTGTCAGACAGCATAAATTATGTTGCATATGTTAAATTATTCTTGTTTTTGATTAATGGATATTCTCATACTCATACATTATTTTATACAGTTTCGGAATACCTATTCAATACCTATTTTTTCTGCTGTACAGGCAAAATGACATCAAAACAGATTCTATAATATTCTAAATTTCATAGTGCACGTTATGCTAACATGTCATTATGATTGCATACTGAACATAAAGTGCTTTTAAAATGTTTTAATGTTGTAATGGGCCAAAAATGATGGGGGAAACAATATCAAACAACACTGAAATTTGGAACATAAGCGGAAATATTTCTTTAAATAATCAAACATTGTAAACAAATGTCACATGGAAACAAAAAATACAATAAATGAATGTTGATGAAACAGACAAAATAAAGGTGTGATTCATTAATTGAGTGCTAAGGGCAGTCAACTGCGAACACTAGGCCTACTAACAAAATCCCGGATTAATGCCAAATGTCTGCAGTGTCTGCAATCAACATCGTGACCAAAAAATTAAGAATTGTCTGAAACGCAGAGCCTTGGGTTTGTTGTATGTTGGTTCAGACTGAATTAATACTTATTTCAAAACCAAGGGTGGACCAATAGCTTTTCTTTTTTTTGGCAGAACTGAAAGCACAAATATTCAGACACAACTGTAATAGGTATTAGCCTTCAGAAAAAACCTACCACAAGAAATGGATGCGGGGGAAAAAACTTCTAGTTATGTAAGAGACTTGGAGTAACTTGTTTAATGCAAATTAGCAATACCCACCGTTCACACAAGTTCCAAGAGCAATTCAATAATGTGCAAATAAAACATTTAAGAGGACCACTCATGCTCTCTGTTGCTGGCATTTAAAAAATACAATACAAATATATATATATATATATATATATATATAATCCTACATGTTAGCATTTTAACTTCAGTGCAGCCATTACCAACAGTCGCTTGCATAGTTTGGTGCATGCATCAGCAGTATCATGCAAAATTGCTTCCATAAATCTTTAAACTGCATTTCTTTTCTGTATTAAAGTCAGTGCATTGGCAAGCTGTTTGCTCCTCCTAAACATGAAAGCCAACAAAAAAAGGGGCACAATAGCTGTAATGGTATTTTCATCCAACTTGACAAAATGGACAATGGCAGAAAGCGCTTGCAAAAGCTGTCCACAGTGCAAAGGCGCACCACTGAGTCAGCGCGGAGGTGCCGTAACGCGGAGGTGCCGTAACGCAGCGTCCGGTCCGCCACCTTGAGCCGAAGCATGTAGATGCCTTTTGTAGGAAATCGGTCCGGTGCAGAAAGCCACTGGCAGCATTGACAGCGAACGCAAAGCGAGACGTGATCGTGGGTAAAAGGGCAACATTTCACAGTACCGCTCATTCACACACAATAAAAAGTAAATCGATCTTTCAAGCCAATCAGTCTTTGTAAGTGCTGCACTCAAAAATAGAACAAGCTTTTTGGCGAAACTTAATTATGACTAGCAATTATATACATCGATCAAAAGACGGACTGCATTGTCTTTTTTTGGAAATTGGGTTTTTGATTATTAGAAAATTTAAACTATAGTGCACCTGTGTGAGTACTATAAAACAGGATTAGCGTTACTGGGATTAAAAGAAAAAAGAAAATAAACAAACGGAAATAAACCGTGGCAGACAGCAGCAGCGCCGGCTGAATGTGAGGAGTCACACAGAGCTGAAACACGTCCATCCCTTCTGCCTCTCTGAATAATTCCCAAGGGATTTTGGCCATAACTACAGTACTGCCAGGAGGTCATTATAATGGTGCCCAGCTCGCGAACTTTACGCACCCCCACTCGGGCCCTGATAGAAGAAAGCAGATTCAGCCGACAGCAGTGGACCTTTTGGCTCCAATGGCAGAATAAAGACCACTCTGAGCTCACGCCCGCCCGCCGATGGTGGGTCTCCAGCGGGGAGCTCTGTCTGCGACTCATGTGATGCCTATCAAAACTTTGAGGGTGGGGGGATCACGCCTCACATGTCAGAACACATACTGCCCCTCCCTGTTATCCCTCCTCAACAGCCAATCGAGAGGATGGATGAGATGGGCTGCCCCGATTAAGCCAATTGCCACTGAGCAACTCACCCGCATGTCGGCAGAAAGCATTACATGCATCAGATATATACATATTACATACATATATATATATATCTACATGAACATACAAGAACTGCAAGGAGAGTTTACCCACCTGATTTAGAGTAACAGGAGGTGGGAGATCGTAAAAACAAAATCGAGGATTAAAAAAGCATTAATATCTTATTAGTTTTATTACAATCCTTATAAATTCAGTTAAATATAAAGTGTAAGCATAGTATTTCTTTACAGCTGCGGGTATATAAACTGAAAATTTGAAGAACTTAGCGTATATAACCATTATAAACAATACCGGAACAATCTGAAACAGATTAAGGGATAACGTCCTGACAGGTAATCATAAATTAAATTATGTTCTCCCTTTCAAACATTCCACACAGTACGTCTGATTAATTAAAGACTGACTGTGTTTTTCATTAAAATTCTTTTGGACCTGCAGTCAACAGCAGAACTTTCCAGAAAGGCCGTGTGTCGTCCACACGTATGGATTGTGCGATATGGATATCAGCTAAATGCCACACTAATAAATGCAATAGGGGGCTTCCAACAGGCCCAATTAATTGGAATGAAAGGTCATTCTACTGTCAGGAAAATTATTCTAATTTTTCCAGTAAGATAAGCCAGGGAGGATGGCTCGAATCCACCTGTTTAATAACAGCGCTTATCCTGTCGACAATAAAAATATAAAACTCAGTAGCTGCTCAGTGCTGTGCAAACAGTGCCTCATACAATCTGAGCCACTCTCCTTTTATAGACAACACTACTTTTATAAAACACTTGATTTTTAGGCAATACAGTGTTTAGCCAATAATTACAGTTTTGTTGAAATTACATAACATTTATAAAGTGCACTGAAAAGCCTCGCCAATAAAAAAAAGTCACTGTGAAATATTGCCCTTGAAACAGCACAAGGTTTTACTCTGTCCAGACCTGTAAAACCCTCACGATCAACTGATGCACATGTCACCTGAAATTACCTCTTAAATGCTTTATGTATATTACAGTTACTGTGCGGTTATGCACACGTGCCATTCCTAAACACAAACCAGAAGTTAGTACCTGTGAAGTGCTTTTTAAAAACACAATCTTTAGTATTTAGTTCCATTTACAATAATATACCCTTGCACCAGATCTATTTTAACCAGATCAATTCTTTTGGTTTGTTTAATGAATAGAAAGGCGCTTTAATAATTTATACGTTATCTCTAGGAAAGAAAAATATACTGTGTATATATTAGGCACAACAAAAAATGTTTTATCACAGGGAAAAAAAAAATGAACCGCAAATCAAAATTTTACTGAGGCTTCTGTGTTGCTCGTGCTGGAGATTGTGTGCTGGAAGAAAGATTTCTGGAGGACCCCGTCTTATCGGCTGGCTTTCTGCCACTTCCAAGAGACTGAGTCGTCTCGGACACGGAAGACTTCGATTTGCCAGTAGATAGTACAGAGTTTCTGACAGGTGTGCAAGTCTTAGATGAGGCCTTGCCCAGCTGGGGCTCTGGCGCCATCTGCTGGCCAGTCTTACCTGACCCCTCTCCCGCCCCTGCTGTACTGTTCTTAATCTCAGGACTCGACTTAGCCGTCCCGTCAGAGACCTTCTTGGCCAGGATGGCGGTCTTGCCGAAATCTGCTGATCGGCGAGTTTCCTTTTGCCGCAGGGCCGACTTGAAGAAGGACAGGCCCTTATCCTCCGACTTACTGCTCCTGCGAAGGTCCCTGGAGGAGACGCTGGAGGATCGGAGGCTGGTAACGGAGGAGCTGCTGCTGGAACTCCTTACCGTCCTGCCGTCGGCCCGCCTGCCGTCAGAGCTGTGCGCGAGGGAGGGGCGGGCGGCGCTGCCGGTCCGGGGGGCCGCCCCACCGAGCTTCTCGGCGGAGGTGCTTGCCCTTGTTAAGTCCTGACTGGCGCTTCTTTCCGCCAGCCTACTCCTCCCAGAGGCCGAGCTTCTCTCAGCCCCCGATGAAATCTTCCTGCGCGTGGGGGAGGGCGAGGCCGACGACTGAGGGGTGGAGGAGAGACGCTGCCTGTGTTGGGATGCGGCTGACAGTACGGCCTCCTGACCATGAGGGGGCTCCTTCTTGGCGGGTGTTCCGGAAGATGCTTTCCCGGGCTTGCTGGAGTTACTCTTGTCTTTGGAGCTGGACGCCTTGGTGGAGCTCCTGATATGGGGGCTGGAGGACACCTGGGATGCTGGCGAGTTGTGAGCAGAAGATGCAGGATGCCGTCTTCTGGAGCTTTTTTCTGACTCCACCGCAGCCTTGCAGGAGCTTCTCTTAGCCGGCGCACTCTCAGACTTCGGCACGGAGCTGGATCGATGCTTCTGCTCCTTGGAGGCCGCGTGGTCTGCAGATGTGGCCTGACTGTGGCTATCAGGCTCAGCCTTGGAGCTCCTCTTGTCAGACTGTGATGGGGCTTTGCAGTAGGCCTCATCCAGAGACCTCTTCCCACCGCCGTCGTCACTTATGGCACCGTCCATGACTGCAAGCGGCGCCTTGCCGCTGGAATGTCTCTCGTGCTTACTGTAGCTGCCAAAGCAGGACGTGGAGACCTTGTCATCACACGCCTCTCCTATCCTCTCCAATGTAGGGGACGAATGAGAATCTAGAGAAAACCGTGAAGGGGAATTGGACCTCATCTGCAGTTTAGCTGAGAGGGACCAGGACGGTTTGGTCCCATTCTCACTCACTGCCAGGGGGCTGGCAATGGATGATCTAGAAGACAAACTCTGCCGCTGGACGCTCCTCACAAAGGGCCGGGTCGAGAATCCCCCTTAAAAGAAAGGACAAGAAGGTTTAAAACTAATGCACTGATACGGGACTAGATAGATAGTTGAGATAAGAGGAAGGCATGCTTGTTCTCTTAACTCAGCATGGTAGCAGATCCTTTGTTAGCCAGACATTCTACAGGTTAGAAAGAATACAGAAAAGGTAAAACAGAAAAAGACAGTTGACAACAAACACTTCACGGTCATCAGTCTGGACTTGTTAAGAGTTAGAATCATAATCTAAATCAGAAGGGTTAATAAGAGGAACAATGTTACTCAAAGCTTTACACCCAGTGACATTTTAATATTGTATAATACAGTAGCTCCTTTGTCAGCAGTAACATTAAATCGGGCTACAATCTGCCCAGTTATACAGCTTTCTGGAGATGTTAGGGATATGAATGGGAACGTTTGTTTCTAACCATCGTCCTCGCTGCGCTCCCCTGTGAATTCCACCGACTCCGACAGCGAGATGAGCGAGGTGCGGCGGGATGAGGCGGCGGACGCCACGCTGGGCTGCTTACTGCCCGGGAGCCTGTTCACCCAGTGCTCGCACAGGGAGGAGCTGGTGGAGCCTTGGGCCAGTAGGGGGCAGCAGAGGGGACGTGAAGAGAAATACATGAGCGTGTCATGATTCGTTGCTGTGTGATAAAGAGCTGAATAGGGAGATTCCAAAGCTCAAACAGAGAGGTACGTAAATTTTCTCGGCACGGTTTGCGTAAGTAATCCATTCAGGGCCTTTTCTCATCAAAAAAGCCCAAACAATGGAGAAGGTACAACTCATCATTGTAAGCATTCTCACCGGAACAAAAGAACATGAATATATGATATCGATAATCAGTCAGCATAGCTTTCTGTCAGATTTAGGGATTTCAAACAAGCATGGAGACATTATCCTGCTGTTCAGCTATGAAAAGGCATAAAGCTTGTCTCTCCCAAGAAGATGCACACCTGCCACCGAGCTATTAGCTGACCAGGATGGGATGGTGGCTCTCCTTTGGTAAAACAGGATGTAGGCCGTCTCCTTACAGACGTCTTCGTCGGGAATAAGCTGAACATCACTGTCGTCGAAGCAGTACCACTGTCCATCGATGGAGTTCTTACAATATGCTAAAAAAAAATACAAGCAATCAAAATATTTATGATTTTTTTAGAATCAGAGTTAGATAATATAGAGCGGAGAGGTTTTATCCACTTAAGGAAAACCTAGTTAAGAAAAATACATGAATTACTTGGTAGGCAGGTACATATTTAACACATTTAATCTAACTAGTAAATTTTCAGACCCTGTTATACACCATTACAACACCTACTGTTGTATCTAGTGTTTGAATAGAATAAAAAAAACAGTAAAAAAAGACAGACTTTAAGACAAATGAGTTTATCCTAAGCCAGAAGCATGTATACATCACCTGTATAGTGCCCCCCCTGCATGGTGCCGTGATGGTTACACACTGCGTACAGGTCGTAAAGGTAGTCTTCTGGGTCTCGGCCATAGGGCCGTCGCCAGGGCGACCAGTGCGAGGGCAGACTCCAGCTGCTCTGGCTCCTTTTCACCATGTGCGGAGCCATATCCATTCCCACCAGAGGAAACTTCACCATGTTCTGGATCTTCATCCTCCGGTCCCGGTCCTGGAAGCAGATCCACGCACAACCGTGAAGGATGAGGCAGACCCAAGCACCAAAAACCTGGACCATCTCAGGCAGCTGCAATATTCCACACGTGCATTTCAATAGTGACACTTTAAACTGCGTTATCACCTATCCCTACTTGTGCTCCATGAGACACCCAGACACATACAGGTGAGTTCAACCTTGGGGGTCAGAGTGCAGGGTCAGCCAGCGTGCAGCGCCCCCTGGAGCAATTGGAGGTTAAGGGCTTTGCTCAAGGGCCCAATGGTGGCATCATTCTGTCAGATTCAGGATTTGATCCAGCGACCTTCCGATTACAGGCACATAGTCCGAATCCACACACCACCCTAATTCACAGTCTCCTTGAAGTCTTTACTCTGTTTTGAATAACAAAAAAATGAAACTAAATTCTGAGGCAGAATGACGACCTACTCTGGAAACAGAAGTCTCATAAATAATCCAGCACTGTCTGACAGTAGGTGCTCCGCTCCATACCTGACGGAAGCGCTTGAGGTGCAATATGAGAATGTCCGGCAAGGTCCAGAGGCTGAGCTTGATGCTGCCCTGCTGTAGCTGCTTGCAGTGGGGACAGCGCCAGGCGTCGTCTGGGGCCAGCTGTAACACACACACCAACTCGTCTCCAGCCACAGAGCACGGACACTGGCACGTGCCAACAGCACGGCCAAACCGAGGTTAAACCCAAGCTCTCAACTAACCAGCTTAAGGCAATTGTGCCAGTCGCAATTACTTACCATTACTGCTAAAAAAAAAGGTTCACTTGATTCAAAGCAGGTCTAAGTCTTAATACAGAAACGTTGGTTATAGTCGGGTATCTTTTTTGTATGAAAATTAAATTATCACAATTTCCATCAGAATATTCGGCGTGTTTGAATGCACAAAAGGATGTTAATCAGTCGCTGATATAACTTTCCCAAGAAATAATTGCCTGCAATTCTTGGATTAAACCTGAGGATTAATGAACCTGATTATCTAATAATTTAATTTAACAAATCAATTTTGTCTACTGAAGCTTCAATACAAAGTAAGTAAATTCAAAATTGTAAATTATAATTGGACTGAGGCTACCATTTAATGCATGTTGTACTTCAAAATGAAAAGTTATTTCTGAATGAGTTTCTGCAAGTAGATTCAGGTAACACAAACGTAAAAGTACCAACAAGTCTGCAAAGCTGATCAAAAATATATAAATTTTTTCCTGAAAAAAATGTATGTACGTATAAATGTATGGCTTCAGGGAAACTGACGTGTAACAACGGCGCCCCCTGGTGGCTGCTGGAGTTCAACGCCTTCTCCAGCCACCTTATGAGTGCACAGAGAGGGGACTGGGTACCTGCTCCTCTTTGGTGTACAGCTGGAAGCACTGTGCCAGGGTGCAGACTTGGGGGTGGCTGTGCTGCTCCACCTGCAGACGCACACTCTCCGCATCGGGGATGTACTCGTCCTCCGTGTGACCGAACAAGCTGCGGGGGGGGGGGGGGGGGGGGGGGGGGGGGGGGGGGGGGGAGTGGGGGGCATTAGGGTGGCAGCTTAATGCTTGGCCTCGACGTGGGAGAAAATAACAGGCAAACAGCCCCCATACAAAATAATAATCACACTGGATTCATCTCCTCCTAAATTCTACTCTACTAATGTAATGTCAAAATATTACATTTAATGTACTTTATTCATGTTTAAAAACAAAATTACCCCCAACTAAATGGCTGTGACTTGTCAGATAAACGTACAACTACAGAAACAGGAACAAAATAAATCAATTAATTAATTTAAAAATCGGGAGATACTTCCAGCACAGGGCTAAAATTCTCAGATCACTGCCACTTACTAATCCTTGGTCTCTTTGTCCCATTCTACTACTATCTTGACGTGTGGGGGGCCCCCTGGGCCACAGGACTTGTACACCCTGCAGAGAAAAGATAAGGCTGAAATACTCAAGGACAGACCCATCAAAAGAAGCTGGGAAGACTTCAGGAGACTGGAGAAGGGTTTCTGTTCTGCCATGTCAAGCAGCAACTGTCCTTACCATATAACCACTAATATAAGAGACCAGAAAAAAGATCACTGATAGCACAGTGTAATATGGTAAAGAAGAGAGGGGCAGTGCTGTGGTCTAGAGTCATGTTGACAGCTGGGGCATATGCTTCTGTGGGAAGCTCACGCAGCCCTTTCTAAGCATAGGCACCAGCTCTTGTAATGTCTGTTCAGCACAGTTAATCTCCCTCAGAGTCAAGACACATGCTGGCATTCGATCCTGGAGTTTTAAAGCAAGTAGCTTATTACCCGTAACAGCAGCCCAGAGACATGGGAACTGGACGTATAAATCTGAAGAAACCACATCTGTTTTAGTGAGACCAAAAACCCATTGACTGATTATGGTAACACTACAAATTACATGAGACTCTTGTATAATTTATGGTGTTTTATTGACTGAAATTGTTTCACTGCCATCACTGCCCTCTAGCCCAAAGGGTGGCAACCTTTGCAAAATTCTTCAACAAGCAAATGAAGGCAGGAAAAAAAAAAAAAACAGTCTTTAGCCCACCAAATAAGTTGTTAAATGGGACATATTTCAGCAGATTAAAAAAAATAAAAATTGAGGAAAATTTAAAAATTAAGGAAAACATGCCAAAGCAGTCAGGACAGATTAGAATACATCCCACAGTAATGCAGTATTGCATTTTTTTTTACTTTTTAGTCAAATGAAAAAGCTAGTTTCTTAGAAAAAGAAAATAAAATCTCAGCAAACAGACTTTCACTTGCACTCCAACTTCCAAAAGCTGGTCACCTAGATATATCAGTTACCATACAGCAAAAACGATGACTACAAAAAAACAACATCTTCATTTTAAATCACATTTCAAACCTGGGCTTCATACCATAATTTCATGATTAAATTATGCATCAGTGAAATGATTATAAAATCAACCACCAAAAACACAGAGATTTAACCAGAAAGTACAAACGTAGCTTTCTCATCATTCATCCATCCTCTATAACCATTTATCCAGGGGCCTGGAGCCTGTCCAAGGCAGCACAGGGAACAAGGCCAGAGACACCCCAAAATGGAGGTGCAGCAAGGAACAGGCAAACACATACTAAAGACACTAAGGGGGCCTTTTACAGACACCAGTCCACATGGTCCTGGAACACGGGAGGAAACGAGAGCAGCCAGAGGAAGCCCACAAGACAACAGGAAGTACAGGCAAGGCCCCGCCCACCCTGCATATGACAGGACACAGAACCGGAAGAGTGAGCCCACAGTGTTACCCAGCTGGCAACCACACTTCACTTCCCCTAGTCACTGTGAGATAAGCTTCTTATCTTGCAGGTTAAACAATGTCGGTAAATATGATAAAAGAACTAGACTGGACTTTTCACACAGCGCCATCCTAAGGTGGATGTGGAGTGATTCTGCAAACCTCCAGCCTGGAAGTACCTGCATAGGAACACAGCACTGGAAGTTCTATAGAAGGAATGGAAATAGCCATTACCCCTTATATAAATGACAAACACTAATTCACATTTTAATTCTTGAGTAATGGGCATGTCTTGCCATTGAGCGGTTTTTATTTTTGAGAAAAACCGAGAAATACTGAAGACAATGTTGAGAAATTTCCCTTATCGTGTTTATCTTGCAGTGTCTTCTTACATAAGATTTCTATTTAACAGCTTGCAGCCCAGCTCACTTAGGACACTTTTCCACTTCACTTCAATAAAGTACCAAATGTAAGGCAGTCCAAGGTGTTAGGTTTCCACTGGCATAAAACCTGGTACTCGCGCTCAGTGACATCACAACGCGAGGCTAAGGGTTTTGTACTGAATTTTAAAAATGGCTGTCGTTCATTATAGGTCTAGACTATGTGCAATATTAATACCATCACAGCTGCAATTTTCACATCGCAAGGACCGTCACAGCTGGTTAGAGATCAGGCTTTTTCATGCCTTCATACTGTCCGGACATTATAGCGTGGGGGGGTTTAATTTCACTAATAGATTTTTACTTTGTCAATGGAAATAAAGCTTAGTGAGCACAGCAATTTTAATGGTTGTTCCTTTTCTAGATTATATAGTATGTTTTTTAAGTTTAAAGTTCAGTGTCACTGCTTTTGCATTACCTCTGCATACATTCTCCAAGTCAATCAATCCTTGCTTTTTAAATCACTCCTAGATGGGTTTATTGGGTTTATTCAGAATTCATTTTTTGCTTTATAAATATCCATCCATTGTCCAACCCACTTATCCTACTGGGTCGCGGGGGGTCCGGAGCCTATCCCGGAAACAATGGGCATGAGGCAGGGAACAACCCTGGACGGGGAGCCAGCCCACTGCAGAGCACACTCAAACACCAGTCACTCACACATGCACACCTAAGGGCAATTTAGCAACTCCAATTAGCCTCAGCATGTCTTTGGACTGTGGGGGGAAACCCCATGATGACACGGGGAGAACATGCAAACTCCACACACATGTGACCCAAGTGGAGATTTGAACCCAGGTCCCAGAGGTGTGAGGCAACAGTGCAACAGGTGTGAGGCGTGAGATGTGTGAGGTGTGAGGCAACAGGTCCCAGAGGTGTGAGGCAACAGTGCTAACCACTGCACCACCATGCCGCCCCCTTTATAAATATCAACAATATCAACAAAAATCACATTGCGATATTTGATCAATTATTTTTTTGTTTGTTTGTTTTTTGCAGCTCTAGTATATTATAGCAACATTTTATTTCATTTCTTGTCATGCCATCCATACTTCTGGTTCTTCCAACCAGGTCGCAGTTACAGCTTTGGGTCTCTTCATTTGTCCACTCATACATTACTTAAAAAAAAAAAAAAACATAGATTACTTTAAAAAAAAAAAAAAGTTTATCACTGTTTTCAGAGTTAATAATGTTTTTCAAGATGGCAGTTGTATTGCGTTTCAGAGGAACCAGTCAACAATGAACACATTTACAAATGCCACCCCAAAAATTACCCTGGCTGCTTTGGTATTTCTGGTACTGGAACTTTTGGTACTGGTACTCGGCTGCAAATTAGTGGAAAAGGGAGGGAGAGTACCCGAAGGGAAAAGGGAGGGAGAGAACCTGTTGCACTGGAAAAGCACCACTAACTACAAAGAAAATGCATTTATTAACATTTTATTTATTTAGGAGACGCTTTTATTCCAAATAACATACTTTGAGAAATCAGGGAAAGCCAGTCCTTGGAGAAACTGGGCATTAAAGGCCATGTTCGGCAGCTCAGCGCTATAAACGTAAAACCACTCTGGGATCACTCTTCTGGTCACAGGTACAGCAACCTAGCCCACAGAGCCACACATCGCCTTTCAATCATCATCCGAGCAATTATATCTACAATTTGCAGAGATGTCTCTCGGTCATTAGCGTATTGCTTCTGGTGATGACCATCTGAGAGGACTGTAGTCAAGCGGTGTGGAGAATATTGTGGAGAGAAAGCTTACCGATCGACCGAGGGGTGACACAAAGGCTGCTCTTCTTGAGGTAAAAGGTACGCGATTCCAACAACTCCGACCACCCGTAGGCTGAATGGCCCCACCTGCCGAGAACAGAAGGCTTCACCCACTACATTCCCACCTCTACACATGTGTTTTATCCCATTGTATGAGCACAAAAACAAAGGATGACAATGAAATGGTAACAAAAAACAGAGTATAACCCACTTAAAGAAGAAGGGAAGTCAGGTGGAAAGAGACGGTTTGTGCAACCCCACCTGTACGTAAACCCCTGGCCTGTGTAGATGTCGCATCTTCTCCAGGATCTCCTTCTGAAGAACGTCCCAGGTCACAGTTTGCTCTAAGTACAGCACGAAAGGGTGGCCAAACCTGGAACAGTTCCAAAGCATGCAGTGAAGCACACAGTGAAGCACACAGTGGAGCACACAGAAAACCACAGGCTCCTGAGTAACTAGGCTCTCCTCACTCATCCTAGTTTTTTTTTCAACTGCAGTATCTAGTTCAGCACCTACAGATATTTAGATATTTAAAAGAAAACTGAACAATGGGAATCTCTGATTTTAATGAATGGTAGGTGACAGTGAACTAAAAAACAAAAATCACATATATCATCTCCGCCACTTACTGGTAAATCCTGTACAAATTAAAAGAAAAGCATACTATAAACCAAAAGCCAAAAGTTTATACAAAGGGTACACCTCACCAATAAAAACTGGGTTTTATTAAGGTGAAGAAACCATATTTTATTCAGAAGCATATAATTTCACCTGCCCAAGTTTGATCTCTCAAGAGTTAAAATTACTGCAAAATCTGCACACATTGCATGTAACCTGAAACAGCTTTAAACATGCACTAACAACTGCTTCCCAAAGGGGCACCTATGATGACGGTGAAGAATATTCCACAGGAATATATCTTACAATTTACAATAAAACCTAAGTCAAACAATCCAGAGAATTTAGCAGTCGTCTGAAACACCCTCCATCCCCTGGGAAAGGAATATTAATAATGGATCAGTCTGAATGCATTTTTTCAGATGGGAAGTCAGTGCACACACGGGTCAATTTATGGACCAATGCCCCTACCCTGCAAATCTATCGAAGGACTGTGGAAGGAAACCACAGGAGCCAACGGAAACCCACAAGAACATGTAGAGGACATGCACAACTCCACACATGCCCAGATGGGGGCAGAACTGTCTAAGCCACAACGCAACTATGTGTCATCAAATATATAGATCTCAGATGGTAACTGAGCATAGCATTAAATAATCAACAACTGTAAAACAGACAGACTGGGGTGACACCTATAAAACATACTTAAGCTTCTGGGAAAATACACAAACTATATAAGATAAGCAGTATTTGACATAGGTGTTCTCTTTGAGTACTCCCAGGCGTCTGGTTCAGTACCTCCTCCCTTGGTGTCCTGTGCAGGCCCGATTGCAGACCAGCAGGATGATCTTGTCACCTCCTACGTTCTTATTGGTTCCTGAAGCGGGCTTCACTGCTCCTTGCATATAAGAAGACGTCCGGTTGTGGTCTGTTCCATGTTTCAGGTTGTTCTGGTTTAAATTTGCATGGAGACTTCCTAAAATAGCAACCGTGCCTCAGTCATGCATTGTAGCTCGATGTTGTAGGTATATCCGTGAGCTACATAAAGCCATAATCGATAACCTTAAGTTAATACTGAGGACAAACCGCTTGCAGTTTCACTATACTGACAAAGGAAGTAACATATGCCTTTGTGTTTCTCTCTTCATTTCTATGCCAAACGGATTTCATAACAAGAGTCATGGAAATAAATACCTCGTTGGGCGCGAATGTTTTCAGGTCTAAATATCTCGGGTGTCTCGAACGCAAAGATCGAGTCGCTTTCCTGAATGATGTCGAGATCTTCGTCGTCATCACAGAAGGAGCGATGGAAGCCGTCGTAATACATTTCTGTCAGGACAATCTAGGCAGAGGCAATCAATGTGCAATTAGGTTCCAATCAGAACATCTACCAGCCACAAAGTAACCAACAAGCTGGCAATGAGAACGGGTCCATTGAGTAAGTATTGATTCTACCTTAAAATGCTAAATGGCTACAGGGCTGAGGTTACAACATGGCTGAAAAATGGCTGATTTTATTTAATTGCTGCTGGAAGTAGGAAAATAGATACTTTGCACTGAAACAGCACACCTGATGTGCAGTTTAAAACAAATGTGTTCAGATACAGGAGAGAATAGGAGGTGTCCTTCTCAGTCAATTATCCCCAAGAAACTTTCTAGGCTCCCAGTAAAAACCTTACTGGTTTTAATGGGGAGATTCTGCAGACTTTAACAAACAGTGGTATGGAAGCATGTCTGACAGGACCAGTACTGAACAAGCTGGAACACACACACACACACACACACACACACACACACACACACACACACACACACACACAC